CTCCCAGTCCCACGCCCTCCGCGCGGCCGGCAGTGTCCAGGACTGGCGGGCACAATAGCTGTGAGGATGCAGTGACCCCTGGTGGGTCCTCTTGTCCGTGCACAGGCAGCGGGGGCTGAGCTGCGAATGAGGCAGAACGGCTCTGGCCTTCGGAGCAGGTGCAATCTGTGCTCTCCAGCTGGGAACCAGCAGCGAGTTGATTCGAGTCGTAACTAGAGGAGACACAGGGGAGCATGCGGAGCCGGGTTGAGGGTAGGCTTCCCAGAAAATTTCTCTACTCTATATTGAATATTAGAAAGAGCAAGAGCTTTGGCATCAGACATAGTTTTGCGTTCCCTGTTCTACCACTTAGTAGCTAGGTAGCCAAGCTAAAAAAAATTTTGGTTAAAACCAAAAAGCTGGCACCTGCAGCACAGTGGAATGAAAATGAACAATTTGCAACTTTGGAGTGAATTTCCTCCCATAGTGCTTTGCCACAAAGAACCTTCTGCAGGAAGCCTTTGCCCCTGCTATAGCAGTCTCATCTAAACATGAATGAGCACAACGCCCAAGTGTGATATAAACCTACCATGTTTGATATGAACTTTACCTAAAACTATGAATCAAACCTATTTTATCTTACAAGCTTTCTGTGAAATGAAAGCAGGTTTTGAATTTCTAATCAAATTCTGTGCCCAACTTTGGGTTGTATTGTCTAAGTTTTGCAGTACACGATCTAACACATTATTCTGGGTTTAATATCTTTACTGTGGAGGCTTTTCTGTAATATAATACCCCTGACACAAATTATCAAATGGGATCGAAAGATTTCATAATAGATTTTCATTCTTTATCATAATGTTCAGTAGAGCCACCTATGCTTGGAAAAACAAAAGATAAGACCCAAGTGTAATAATTTGTTTCCCAGTTCTGAGTTTGGCTGCCACCCGTTTTATGTCTTTTGATTTGAGTTGTTTTGTTTTACCTCCAATGGTGATGGAAAGGCTGGGGGTTTGGGGTGAGGCAGCAATTCAGTTCCAAGCTCTTTACAAGGGAAAGTACCAAGCCAAGAAGTCCTATACATATGACCACCTTTTCTTTTTCATTTCTTTATCACAGACTGGAGAAAATAAACAATCTATTTAATACAAAATTGGAGTTTCCTAGATATAATAGGAAGATTCTACAGGTTGTTTAAAAAAAAATCACTCAAGATATAATTGGCATGAAATAAATTGCATATATTTAAAGTTTACAATTTGATAAATTTTTATATGTGTATGTAACCATGGAGCCACCACAGTCAAGCTAGCAAACATATCCATCACCCATAAAGTTTCCTCCTGTACCTTTGTTATCTCTCCTTCTGACTCCTCACCACACCTCCCCTCCCAGGCAATCACAGATTTACTTTTTGTCACTGTAGATTATCTGCATTTTCTACAGTTTTATATAAATGGAATCATGGTGTCAACTCTTTTATGTCTGATTGGTTTCACTTAGCATAATTATTTTGAGATTTATGAATAGTTCATCCATTTGTATTGCTCAGTAGTATTTCTTTATACGTACATACCACAATTTGAATATCTATTAATTTGCGTGGTTTCTAATTTTTTACTATTACAAATAGTACAAATTTTAAAAATTCTTCTCTGAGGATTGTACTAGTAAGCTCGGGCTACTTTAACAAAATGGTATAGTCAAGTGGCTTAAATGCCTGCGGCCATGCCACCCTGAACAAGCCCGATCACGTCTGATCTTGGAAGGTAAGCAGGGTCGGGCATGGTTAGTACTTGGATGGGAGACCACCTAGGAAGATCAGGTGCTTGCTGTAGGCATAAAAAATAAAAATAATAATAAAAATAAAAATAAGGGATTGTAAGCTGACAAGGTCCTTGCAATCTGTGAGGTGAACCAAGGATTGCCTCGCCTAAGAAAATAAACAAATAAAAGATGGCTTAAACAACAGACACTTATTTTCTCACAGTTCTGGAGGCTGGAAGTCCAAGATCAGGGTGCCAGCATAGTCACTTTCTAGTGAGACCTCTCTTCCTGGCTTATAGGCAACTACTATCCCACCGTGTGCTCACATGACCTCTTCTTTGTTCCAAGATGTGGGTTCTGTGGTGTCTCTTCTCATAAGGACACTAAACTTTTTGTATCAAGGCCCCACTCTTACCACTTCATGTAACCTCGATTACCTCCTTATAGGCCCTGTCTCCACATACAGTCACGTCGAGGGGTAGAGCATTTATTTATTTATTTATGAAATAAAGAGTGGAATAATTAGAAGATATACAAGTGGAAAATAAGCACATGAAAATATGCTGGATATCATTAGTCATTAGGGGAATGAGTATTAAAATCACCATAAGATAGAATTGCAGACCTAGCAGAATGGCTGCCATACCTAGTTATCATACCACCATACTAAGTGTTGGTGAGGATGAAGAACAATTTGGATTCTCATGCACTGCTGGTGGGAATGTAAGATGATATGAGCAGTTTCTTAAAAAGTTGAACATACACCTTCCACAGGATTTTGGAGGAAGACTTTCTCTGCCTATCCAGAGAAACGAATTCACAAGATACTATTCAAACGCATCGCTCCCCACCCCCAGGAAAAATCGTATAGTTTTTCAACATGTGCATAACATAATATAGTCTTTTTAAAGCCTGTGTGAAAGCCTTTGATCTCTTTTCAGAGATTTTTTAGAAAAATATTTTCTTTGGTCAAGATGACATTTTGTCATAATAACCCTATGTAGATGAGTCAAATGACAAACAAATTTAGAGTAGATATAATTTTATGGAAATATGTAGACCATCTGTGAAGGACTATAGGAATCCTCATTCTGGAAGAAGCGTTTTGACTTCACATAAAACAGGCCCCACCCCTTGCTGAAACATGTGCTTCAAAATGTTTTAAAGCACCGTATTCTTTTTTAGGGAGATGTATTTAAACAATCATGTCCTCTGTCATCTTTTATATTTTTGCATTTTCCAAACTTTAGAAAGTTAACTATAATTCGAGACAAGAAAAAACACCTTGAAAACATTGACTGTAAACAAGTAATAACTTAATTACTTAAATACCCAAGGGCAGTGCAGTAAAATCACCTGAAAGACTTGTTAAAACATAGATTGCTGGCCCCACCCCCAGAGTTTCTGGCAGCCTGCAGGGGAGCCTGAGAATTTGCATTTATAACAAGTTCCTAGGTGATGCTTATTCTGCTTGTTTGCAACCACACTTTGAGAAGCACTGCTCTAGAAATTATCTTTACAAAAATAATAAAAATTTCCCTAATTACCTATGAATAATTGTTTAAAGGGGAGGCGTGTTCTTTACTAGTAGCTTTCCTGTTACTTGCCTCATTCATCATTAGCTCATTAATGCCTGTCAAGGAAGAGTATTGAAGACCCTGCCAAGTAGATTACATCAGAAAGAGTAGTTTTTAAAGAAGGGAAATATCCTTGTTTTAGTGTCATCATATTCCTGCCTAGTCTCTTCAGACACCTTACGCATTTTTCTTTCTAATATAGGATATGCCCAGACACATCCAAGTTTTAAGACCATTCTGCCTTCTGACTCACTTCAAATATATGTCATTAACCAGCTATCCTCTCTTCTAAGTACTGAGGACTCAGATCCCATTTATTGAAATGCCTCAAGGGTGTTACCCATATTTCAAGGGAAGTCATCTCCCAGACAGCAACCTAAGCTGTTTCTTCA